TTCCCTTCCGATGAGATTAGATCGGAAGCCTATAGGTTGGGGAATTCGTAGTTATATCAAACGCGTTTTTCCGTAAACAAATAATTATCGTATTTGCAGCTGGAATAATCGCAGGAGTATTCTTTCCGATATAGGAATTAGCGGTACTTATCGTATCGAATATTACCAGGGAATAAATACAAATAGTGTTTTCAGAGTATAAGAACTACTCGTTTATTTAATAATGAGATAGGATGATAAAGGAACCGAATGTATGCAAACACACCGAATCTAGCAGAAAATTGAGTCTCTTGCTGTATATGTCTAAATTACTGGCTCTTTTCTCAATTTCTGCTGTGTCCATTTTCCTTAAATACAAGAGCGGACTTAAAACAATCTTGCAAGTCAATAAGCAATTTTGGCAATATGTGAGATTTTCCTTCTCCTGCTTCTGCTAGAATTAAATATTGCGGTATTTTCGTTTTATCAAGTTAACTTTGTGTTTCAAAGCATTTGAGGCTTGAAAATTCCAAGAGAAACCACTGCCTATAGGGGGATCCGTATTATTATTTTATCGAGAGTGATATGTAACATCGCTGAATCGCTGATGGACTTTTTAACCAGTGAAAAATATTTACTGCGTGTGCTCCACTGATACTATTGTTCTTATTTACGGAAACAATCGTGACAGTTGCAATATAATGTAATGATGTGTTACACTAGACAATATATCGATATCCGTTTATTGGTCGACAGTCGCAGACTTTCACGCTCCTTATAAGGTTGCGCACGACAGCAATTGATAATATCAAGTAGTACTAATATATGTTATCTTCCCATCTAACACGCGAACACGCGTCTACTCATACATATATATACCCAGACGCTTCTCTCCATCGCACATGTATCGCTTCACAACAACCTCTCCTCCTTCAAAGCGCAAATACAATGGTATCGAAAAGCTATACGAACAACGCCTTTGCTGCTACCCATACGACACTTTGCTACAACTCACGAACAAGTCTTTGAAACGACACGGTTTATCAACCACGTAACCGATACTCATATGAAACATATATATCCAAACGTTACTCTTTCCGCGATCAAGAAAAAAACGTTTGCAATGACACACTATGGAGAAAACAAGGCATGTGGATAGTTTGACATGTTCCGTTTGGGGCTTGGGTGTCTTATTCATTGAAGTATAATTCTTTGGGTAGCCCTGTACGTCCTTTAAACATGATTCGTTCACTCACTCCCATGTTAAGAAATTCATTTCTTTTTAAAATATTATCTAGAACAATCGAAGTAACAACGTTATCCGAAAGATAAATATACAAACGCAGCAAACACTTGCCGCCACTCCATACGCACATACGACAGTTTGCTACAAACAAGTCTTTGAAACAACGACTCGGTTTATCGACCACATAACCGATACTCACATAAACACATATATCCAAACGCTACTTTTCATTGCACAACGTTATCTAAAAGTTGAATATACAACGCCTAAACCTTTGCCGCCACTCTATATTACGTACATACAACAGTTTGCTATCGAATAAGTCTTTAAAACGACGGCTCGGTTTATCGACAAATATTCCGTCCCTCCACATGCAAATATGCTTCTTCATTATTAACGTGTACCGCACCGAGTAGAATAATAATGCGGTAAAAGAAGTTTGGGAAAATTGTATACTTTATTAATTATTCAGATATTTAACGTTTTTTTCAATATCTTCTCGTTGTCGATAAAATAAATAATCTCCGTCATAAAATAACCCTAAAAATTATTATCATATCTATTTATATTACTTAGGAATTACATACGAGTCACCGTCTCGATTTCGAAAAGTTTTCCGACGGCATTGAACGATTGATTATCTAAACCAATCATAAGCGCTAACGACAATAGGAATGTTGAGTGCGTTTTTATGACTTAAAGACGTAATTTGGTTAGCATTATAATTCATGATTTCAGTTGTTATGTTGTATAGTTATTAGACGACAAATGTAAAAAGTAATTTTATTCGTATAATCTCATGACGAGAAGTCACCCTCTACCTTGTGTTGTGCATATTTATGGTTGAGAAATATATATCGATAATCTTGAATGTTTCACGAGTGGCTATTGTACCATGTTGAGCCCAATGGGATGTTGGTGATCACGAAAAAGCTTCGTTCGTGTATGTGTTTTGTGATTTAAACAGCTTGTTGTACAGTGACCCTATCGGTGATGCAAAATTTTGTAAAGTTTGATGATTTGTGCCCAAATGAAACACCGACAATTGAGTGTCCAGTCACAATTCTTGGCATATTGTAATATCAATATCCAATTCGACACATCACACAATTGCTTTAAGCATATTATATGGTTTGTTTGGTCGAATTGTCAGAACATGTCTTCTTTCGCATTGAATAATTGTTTATTTGTCAATTTTTGTTACAATTTGCCATATGTATTTTTGCAAGGTACCATTCACTTTCATATTGTTATTACATTGATTATGTCACTGTTCTTGACTGTACGTAATGGATACTTCCAATCTAAACTCATCTGGGATAGCTTGTGTTGTGCATTTATGGTATAGTGTCTCACGTTATTTCGATATGTGATATTAATACGATTATCTTTTGCCTAGTTGATGCAATATTTTGAAATTCACTATACGCTTACCGTTAGTCGTCTTGATGTTTCCTTCTTGCATTGCACAACTTAAACTTTACACTAAAACTGGGCATGTATTTAAGAGCAACTGATCAGTTTCTCGAATATAATATTTTGGTAAACGAATACCTTGCATTTTTGATGTGCCATGCTCGCTTTATGTTTATGAACATCAAATCCTAATGTCTGGTCTTACGTCAGTAGAGTATTTAATCACGTGCAAACGTAATAAAAGCATGTTATTCATTTGATGCCACTGTCGATCTTATCAAGAATGGTTTATTGCCCACGTCAATAACAACAAGCATTCCATTTGCTATTGTTAATTTAGAATTCGTAGTGTTGACTACAGTGGAAACTGTACCAATAATACCGATCATATTTTTTACATTCTATTGACTTACTCGCACCAAAGCCAAATATACCAATAATTAGCTAACCCGACTGAGCAAAGTTTGTCGCATAAGCGATCTGATGCAACAGTCTCGATCTCCAATTTTATATCTTTGCACAACCTGCGGGGCGCCATACGCAATATACACTGGCACCATTCGATATGTGTTTATATAACCTTGCGTTACTCACGTGATTAGTATGTCGAATCATATTGCTCGATGTATATTCTGTATCCATACCAAGAAACCTATGGAATGTTTAGTTATCGACTAAATAATTGTTGCATGGTGCCGTTTAGAAGGACAAGTCAACTACATAGGAACGAAAAGTGCAGCGGTAGGTTAACCCATTGTTTCGTAATCGACAAGACATTGGTTAAACATGCTAGTGACGTACGACGCTCGACCATAATAATGAACGTAATTTCATTAATTAAAATAAGTGAGACATCGCTAAATGGTAACTGTGACTGTCACCAACTTATCACATTTTAATTTAAAGTTGAAAAGAGGACATGTCTTCCGTCATGTAACATAACATTATACTAACATTTATATTGTAATTAAACAAAATGAGATCTTTTTTATCACCCGCAGTATGAGATCTTGTCCAAGTGATTATTCTGCATCCGGCATTTTATTCATTGTTAGAGGTTGACTTCTTCGATGGGGTTTCACAATCTTTTAATATTGCATCGGCTCTAGCATGGAATTCGTCAAGACGTCCATCAAGTTCGTCCAAAGCTCCTTCAGCATTGTCGATATCTCTCAGCAAACTATTGAGATCGAGTCCGCCCTCTGTATCGAGATTATCATTATGCAGAGCAGTAGTCATAGTCGTGGTTGTATTAGTGGCAGTAGTAGTGGCAGTAGTAGTGGTAGTATTATTAGTAGCAGCAGTAGTAGAAGAAAGAGATGGTGGTAGTGAGGAAGAAGATGTTGTCGTGGTGGAATTAGCCATATCGAAAGGTATGGAATTTCACTCAAGTGCTAAAAATAAATAAACAAGTAATCAATGGCTCGAATTGTACCAGAACTAGATGTCTCTGGAACGGAAAAAAAAGAATAATCCTATCACAATTGCTAGGTCGAAAAATTATGTATAAACTGTAACACAATAACAACGTGAATAGATAGTAAACAAACTTACAACCTACAAAAAGAAAGTTATTCGTATGTTTGTATTTTCTTGACTTTTTTATTTCTCCTCCTAAACAACGGGACACTTCCCCCCCCTCATCATCGCTTACCTGGAGCTATAATTTGGCGGTGCAAGTCATCCGCAAGCTGGAATACACGACGATCTGAACGACTGCTCTCCTTTGATTACGTCCCAAACTCACTCGAAACGTATCCTCCATACACATATTGTACATAACGACCAAAAAGACAGGTAGCTTTTCTTGTCGTGCTCGGCATTTTACCTTTGGTTTAAATGCTTCTTTTTGCTGACATCAAGATTTTAAACCTACTTTTAAAAAGACAACTTACGTGAATACTACGACAATTACAAAGCTTTTCTTGAAGATAAATTATCTGTCTGTTGGCGAGAGCAATTGTACTCTAGTAAAGTGTTTACATATCCATACATATATACAATGTCCACTTCCACTTTCATTCCTTCCTCCGCCTCCACGTTTACGTCTAGTTCTAGTCCCATTTTTGTTACCCCTACTTCCAGCACCCTTCCCTCTCCTACAACTTCTATTCACACCTCTGTTCCAAATCGCATTTCCACCTCCACGTCTGCCTCCGACACTTCCATTCCCATTTCCACTCAAACTCCCATTTCCACTCCCATCGCTCCCGTCTGGACACCTCTGCCTAGGTTCGCATATGGGTTTGCAATCTATCCTTTCTCTCCCGGAGCTATCAATAACTCTGAAGACTCTATTAAAGCAAGTCATGATGGTGGTTCCTCTGATTCAGTATCATTGTTATCGAATAATTCAACAATGCCAGTAATACAATATCAAGTCTCGTTAGAAGTTGGAGATGAAATATACGTATTCGAAGAACAAGGCGCATGGTATCGTGGATACGCCGTATCTCATTTACGACAAACAGAAGAACCTTCTGTATTCGTCGGCATATTTCCTGCAAATCACGTTTACATCAAAGAATACTTGGACTATGCAGAAATGGCAGCAGAACCAACCGACGATACCCCACACTCTCCAACAAACTCTATTTCCAAATCGGTACGACCTCCCCCACCGCTTCCATCACTCACTTGCGGAGATGATTCGGTAAGTGGAAGGACAGAGCCACTTGTAGACGAAATAGCTAGCGCCGTACGCGAATGGAGTAATCTATTGTCGAAATATCTCGAGGAACGTCGATACGAGCTATTCAATGTGGTGAAAGATCACATCAACCTTTTACTACAAGGGCGTCGTCAGTTACTTGCGCAAACTCTCTCTCAAGATGAATTGAGCAAGCTACGCAAGGAATTAGTCAAACAACTTGTCTCTGGCAATTTGGCACAGGATCTCGATATAATAGTGCGGGACCCCGAGAAGGGCTTCTTGGCTGATGAGACAAATATATCAGCCATTCAATTATACCAATTACAATCTCAACTAGCAAATGTGAATATCGACAAGGCTACTTCTGACCCACCACAATCTCCCGGACCGCTTTCACATAACCTGATAAACTCGTCAGAAAGAAGCCATTCTCCAAAGTTCTATCATGTGTTCTTGAACATGAAGGCATGGGTAGCGTCGATTTCTGCTCAGGGTGAAAATACTGAATTATATTTCTCATTGTATCTCGCATCTAAAAACGATCCTCGCTTCATTACCGAGGAATACAACATCATTCTCAACCACAACGGTGTACCCAGAGAGCAAACTAAAATAGGCAAAATCCGAACGTTATTCACTGATATATCTCCGCACGACATACAAGAACAGGTATACCTAGTCTGTAGAATAGTAAGAACTGGCAGCATGAAAATTGCCGACAAAGACAAAGACTCTCCAAAAGACACTAGTTCAATTTCATCAACCATTGATCAATCACCTCCGCAACCAAATACTAAAGCGATACCTCAAACTTTCCGAAGACCGTTCGGATGTGCTATATTAGAAATAACTCATATTTTCCAAGGCAAAGAGAAAGAGCCACTAAGCGAGCATGTAATGCCTATATACGTTCCTACCCAGGAATCAACATTTGCTACTCTCCATGAAGACATCATTCACAGTCATATGAAAGAATTCGAAAAGTCTCCTCGCGCTGAGATGATAAGTGTCTCCATTAGACCATTCTTTGGCGAAGCAGCAACGATTATCAAAGAAAACCCGGCCCTGTTACAGAATATTCCAATCACGTCCCGTCTTGGATTTGCCGATGTTGTGTTTCCTGGCGACACTCGCAACGAAATATACTTTAAACTAATGTCTGGTGATTTTACTCAAAGTCGTACTACCACAGCAAAGAACGTTCAGGTTACTGCAGAAGTCAGATTGAATAATGGCGTTTTACTGGATGACATCATTTCACAGGGTTCTGGTGAACCAATGGTCAGTCAGTTCGAGTCACTTGTGTTCTACCATTCGAATAATCCTACCTGGAGAGAGTTGATCAAGCTGAACATACCGGCAGAAGTATTTGAACAAGCTCACGTGTTCTTTACTTTTCGACATCGATCGACTAAAGACAAGAAAGAAGATAAATTATTTGCCTTTGCTTATCTTCCATTGTTCCCTGAAAACAGAACTTTTATAAGTGACGGTGACCATTCGCTTATCTTGTACAAATACGACAAGCAAGTAGTTACTCCGGCTGTCTATCTACACCATCAATGGTCTCCCAACGTAGCGCTTCCAGAAAATGCGACAAATCATAACAACTCATCATCTACCAATGTCAATCATAAACTAATCCCAGCAGCATCAAGAGATACCATTATAGTCAAGACATTCTTATGCTCTACGAAATACACACAAAACGAAGTACTTCTCAAATTACTCAACTGGGAGAGACAGTTATTACATGACGAGAATGAGATGATGGAGGTGCTGAAGAAATTTACCTTTGTTGGAGAAGTTGAAATTGTGAAATTTCTTCAGGATATCTTTGACGCTTTGTTTGGAATCTTGGTATCATCAAAGAATCAACAGAGCCAACTGGACGATCTTATCTTCAATGCATTAGTCACTATTCTTGGTATAGTTTCAGACAGACGATTCATGAACTTCCGTCCTGTGCTTGATGTATATATAGAAAAGCATTTCGCATGTGCCGCTGGATCTTCCCATTTGATCAAATCTATGAATAAACTGGCCTCGAATCCGACCAACCCGGAGACTGCTAAAAATCTACGATCAGCGATCAAAGTATGGCAATACATATTCAAATTTATTATGAGATCCCGCGAATTACAACGGACAAAGGAAACAGATATTGGTTTGTCTGGGAACTACGTCGAAGAGCAATTCAAGAAGGATCTATATGGTTTATTCAAAAGCATCGACAGGCTCATGTCCAACACAACTCCGCAATCCATCATTGGCACGCAGACGCTAGCACTTCAACATTTTGCATCTATCTTTTCCGATCTGGGTAAATGCTTCTCACCGGACGACCTAGTCCAGATAGCAATTCGGTTCACCGAATCGGTTCGATTACCCAAAGGAAAATTACTCTCGTACAAATTACTGGTCATTCTCCAATTCTGTCAAGGACCATTGTTTGAAAACGCCGAATCGCGTGCTACGCTAATACGTCATGTAGTAAGTTGGGTTACAGATCATATGGGCATATGGGATAGTACTAGTGCCAATACAAGCAATAGTGCAGCAAGAGCTCAATGGCAAGATGGTGTTAGATTGTGTGTTGCTATAGTAGCTGTGATGATGGAGAGTTTGCAAACATCAATAAGAAAGGCTAGAGGCGAATCTGTTCAAAAAGAATTGGAGAATATCGGTGTCATACTCCCGCTATTAGGCAAATTGTGTGAATCCTATAGAGAATTGGAAGTTTCGGTAGATGTAGATCACAAAACAAGAGATCGACCTTCTTCTAGTGGAATTATGCTCTCATCGCCTGCGTTACAAACCTCGTTCCCATTTCCGAATGTATCAGGATCACCAGTCGGTATTCTCCCTGGCAAAATGAACCTTACTGTATCCTCCGGACTGGGTGAAGTTTCTGCAGTAGTATTACAAATGATATTTCTAATATCACAAGATCATATGAGAGAACATTTATTATCGATGTACTATCGAGAAGGTCACGAGAAAATGGCTGACTTTCTTGTACAGTTATTCCACATCTCTCGAGCAATACTCAGGAACGAGGCATTTCCAGCGTCGTGGTTGAATATGAATATAATGGCTCATAAAGTCCTTCTCAAACTGCTGGAGCCGGTATCGGCAATGATGGAAAAGAATTTCATTCCTGATCGTGAGTCACCAGAAGAATTTAATGTAGAACTATGGAAAGAATATTTCAAATGCCTTCTTTGTCTACTTACCAGCAGTCACCTTGTAATTGAAGAATTCTCACCGCAGAAACGGCGTGCTATCTGGAGGCTAGCCGGTGATATTCGTGGTCAAGGCGCTAAACTTTTGTCTAGTTTGTGGGATGCTATCGGATGGGAGCAAGGCGAAGCTGGTAAAATGGGCGGATATCAAGCACGGTTTATCAAAGATCTATTGGGACCTGTATTGGAATTGTGCTTATCTCACCACGACGGTCTTCGCTCTGCCGCGATTAATGTTCTTTATAGTATGATCATAACTCATTGTAAGTTAGAGGAAGATTTCAAAATCATGGAGTCGGAAATTATCGATAATTGTGACAGGCTCTTCATGTCTGAAAGAAAAGGAGATGATATATCACGAACTTATTTCATTGCTCAATTACGACGGTTATTCGAGAACACTTCACTAGATGACGATACACTATCCACTGTTCTCAAGTTCTTAGAGGCACTTAATGAGTTTTTGGAATTGCTTTTGGGAGTAAGAGAACTACCTGATGGAGAAGAATTCCAAGACGATAGAATCATGTGCACACTCAAGCTCATGAAGTTCATTAAAGAAATAGAACGTGAACAGATTTACGTCAAATACGTGCATCAGCTGGTTCAAATGCAGGTTGCAAGTCATAACTTTGTAGAAGCTGCACTGACACTCAAACTGCATGCTGATTTATTCGAGTGGGATCCAAATACAACAATGGGAGCAATGCCTGAACTAGATTTTCCCAAACAATCATCATTTGCTCGAAAGGAGCGACTGTATATTCAGATACTGGATTATTTTGTCAAAGGCAAATCCTGGGAATGTGGTATTGAGATATGCAAAGAATTGGCTCGTCAATTCGAATATACCATCTACGATTATCAACGTCTGAGTGAAATCCTAAAGCAGCAAGCCGTTCTCCATGAGAATATTATAAGGAAAGAAAGATACTTTAGTGAATACTTCCGAGTCGGTTTCTATGGTCGAGGATTCCCCGCTAGTCTACAGAACAAACAATTCATTTATCGTGGTTATGAATGGGAAAAGATAGGCGCATTCTGCGAGCGCATGCAGAATAAACATCCACACGCTCAATTGTTAAAGATAAATAGCACTCCTCCTGATGAAGTGCTCTATGGCGACGGACAGTTTTTGCAGGTTACGGCTGTCGTACCCGAACCTGACAGAGAACATCCAATGTTCAAGGGCGATGTACCTTCTTCCATTCGTAGTTACTATGAATACAATTCGGTCAATATTTTTGGTTTCTCTCGGCCTATTAATAAGAACCCCGACGGCGTCAAGTCCGCTAATGAGTTTTTAGACTTGTGGACGGAAAAGACTATTCTCGTGTCAGAGGAAACGTTCCCTACGGTACTTCGTCGATCAGAAGTTATCAAGGTGACCGTGGTCGAAGTATCTCCTATAGAGAATGCAGTGGCTGCTATGAAGGCAAAGAATCGCGAGTTGTTAGCACTTGAAGCCAAGTATAATGTGCACATCACTTCACCGACTACTACAACGACATCGACTGTTACAAGGGTAAATGTTAATCCGTTATCAATGTCGTTGAAGGGCGCGGTCGATGCTCCCGTCAATGGTGGAATACCAATGTACAAAAAAGCCTTTTATGACCCTGAATTCTTGAGTGCTAATCCGGATAAAGAAAAATACGTCCAAGAATTGAAAAAGGCTATCGATGAACAGGTTATTATTTTATTTTCATATTGATAATGGAATTTATGGTAACAGTGTGTGGAAGCTTACTGATCATGTGACGTGCTATTGCTATCACTAGGTTGAAATAATCGATCGTTGTTTGGATTTACATGATAAATTGGTATCAACAGAGATGCGTCCATTCCACGATACACTCGTCAAATGTATGTACTTCATTGGCTGTTTAATACGCTTTACGTATAATCTGTCTCTTTATTCTGTAACTCATACACGCATTCTCTCTCTTCGATTACAGTCTTCCAAAAGAACTTTATCGAGGAAATTTCTCGCCTACCTGAACGCAAAAAGATAAAACCAATGCCTTCGATACGTTCTCTGTCTAGCCGCATATCTCCTATCGCCGTGACAGGCACACCATTCTTCCTTCCTCCTCTGTCTATCAGCAATTCATTCCGTAATCCGTCACATTACGGGATGTCTCCATTGACCGCTGAACCGTCATCTCCAAGTTCATTATCATCATCGCCTAGTCCATCGATAATTACAAGAGTAGCTAATGCGACATTTAATCATTCTTTGAAACACTCGAATACTGTTCATGGTACCGGGAGCATTACGAAAAGAAGAGTTAGCGGTAGTTCCGAGGGAAGCAATGATCCACCGCTTAGCCCTAACGGGGATACAATAACTGAGATGCCTGTTATTGAGAGGAGGCCGACCATGATTAAAGAGAGGAAGGGATCGTTGTTGGGTGAGAGACGAGTGAGTCTCAAGTGGCGGCCGTTTAATCGAGGTAGAAGTACTACGCAGTAATGGCAGTTGTGCATTGTCAATGATGGGATAGATTAGTTAGGTAATTTATTAGTAGAACAAGATTTTGATCTCTGATATGTAAGCGCTCTTTATAATCAATGCAAATTTAGTACTATATAGACTTTTCGTTAACTTTTTTCATCAATCCTACTGGATTCTTGCAGTATTAGTAGTATTAGTATTTATTATATTATTTATATTATTTTTACCAATTATTATTTATTAGATTCACGGTAGGATTGAGTGAAATTTATTTTATTTCACTTGTATCGATAGTTGATTTATCGTACCTTCTTTGTACTTATATGTTTTCATCCTTCTGTTAAATAGCTATACAAATAAAAAAGTAATCGAACATCATTAATTCACCAATATGAGAGATAAATAGGCACTGCAAGTTGTCTGGTATGATTCTATAAAAAGTGGAAAACAAATATAATCTACTTAATCCGATCCGCAAAGTTGAAAGGCGCTTCCCTGTGACTTTATGGAGCTTGTATGTTTGAATTCACAGTTTTTAACCATCCACGAACGATATTGTGAAACACTGCTTAGGCATTAAGTGTTGAAGGTGCGACTATTCATTCCGCCTTAAAAATATCACCCACAACTACGAATTACCACTCTTCTTACCAAACATTCATATTCGAAAATGATAATCTGACAAACGGTACCCACATAATAATAAGCCATTCCAAAATTATTATGAATTTTTGAAATTCACGTTTCCCACATCAATTACTTGCATTGTACGCTATACCTTACCTGTTTAAAGCGCGCCAAATAAATTAGCCTGCCAGTATAATTTTCAATTTTCTCCTAACGACGCCACCATTTAAATTTATCCTGCATTTCATTTTTTTAAAATGTACATAATTTCACCGCGAACGTTCGTTCATTGATTTTGTAAATGAGATCTATTCATTTTTAAGTTCCATTTCCTTTGTAACATCACATGCGATGACAAATGAAAATTACGCGCAAAAGCTTTATTGACATTTAAATATATTTAAAATTGTCTTCGTTTAAAAATTACGCAATTAACCACAAACAACTATTACTTATTTACCCAATCTTTACTATTGGTCTTTCAACAATAAAATAATAAACACAATAACTTACATTGTATTCTTGAATTACCTATCCGCTTTGTGCCTTGTATGTCATATTGCAAGGCAAAATACTACTGATTGTTCCTTTGTGCAGAAGTTAATTCTTTAGCAAGACCCATCATGCAAAAAAATGAAAGTGATAGAGATTTTTAAAACAAGTTTTTACAACCCTACAACAATCCATTTAGGCAATATGTAGCAAATATGGTATAATAATAAGAATCACATGGGCAATTACATATTAACAATTTTATTAAATCAGTTAAATTTCGATCATGAAATACTTTTTTTTGTCACACCCCCCCTGTAGGTTTTAGTAGTAAAATTACAGATGTATCTATAATTGAAATTGCAAAAAAGTAGAATATATTAATATAGGTGGTCCCGGAATTACTGATATTAGGCATCTTTTCACTTTGCTAGCTGAGCCAATTGTTCTTTTCAATTGCTAGGTAAACTTTCTAATCCTTCGGGCTTGCCTATGTATCACTAAAAGAAATTGCTCATTCTTGCCCAAAACTCCAGCATCTTTATTTAATTAGCTGTAAATATATAACTGATAATGGAATATGTGAAATTGCAGATTTACATCCAATTTGCTTAGCTTTTCTTTCAAAGTGGAAGACGCGAATTTGACGGAAGTACTTCTAGATTGGTAATTTTTCTATAAAAAAATCGCCAAATCGTGCTCCAAACTTCAATATAGGGCAAAAGTCTGCAGTTGAATGAAAGAGGAAAATTTGATTGCCTCTCTTCTATGGCCTGCACAAAGCCCAGACCTTAATCCAATTGAGCATCTATGGGATTTTCTGAATCAACGAGTACATAAGCATAAACCTCATCCAGTAATGTGCTAAAGGCAAATTGTGATTGATCAAAAATTCCCACCAGAAATTGGTAAATAGCATGCCATGTAGAGTCAGTGCTGTGATTAAAAATCCACAGAATATTGATCTAAAATTCAGAGAGTTCATAACTAGACGAGCTTATTGGTATAAATATAAAGTTTGTTATGTGTTGTTAATACTGTTGTCGCATAAAGTTGTTTAGAATTCCATGTTTCAATGATGATCATGTGACGAATACTTTTACGGTTTTTTGTGTAAAAAAAAACGCTATAATAAATAGGACGCGGTCCCGTTCGGCTACGAAGGAAAAAAGGTAACTTTACCTCAATTTCTGTCGATAATCTTAATAACTAACCACTTAAGCCTTCTTTAGGCGTACGCGAATCGTCCGTCCAAAAGATGGAGTCTTCAAAAGCAAGTGACATACCTCGAGAAAAGCTTGAACCGCTTAGCGAAGACTATTACAGCAATGCAACCGGCCAAGAAGCACCAGCCTGCTGTAGTAAATGTAACGTACATTGCCAGAAAGAAGAAAATCGCCAGGTACATGTTCGGTGTGTCAGTTCGTTGCGGACCGGAGTTGAAGAACAAATATGCAATCGAAAGGAGAATGAAAAGCATGAAGATATTGGAAAGTTGTCCGAATTTTGTACTAACGGCGGAAGAATTAAAGATATGCAAACAACTATTGGGGAATTGCGCAGAGTGTGCATCTTGGGAGATGCTAAGTGGACGGAAGAAGAACTCCGAACAAAAGCGTGTAATTATGTACACCCGATCCATAGACATAGAAACAATGATAGTGAAGAAACCATGCATATTATGCCGGAAGCTAGCGAACGAGATGGATCGAAAGGGCTGGGCGGTAGTTTGTCCATGGTAGTTGATACATTTGTTGACGAATCCGTCCGTCGCAATCTTGCATCCTCTATCTGGTGTGAACTTGATGGCAGTGATCTAGAAAGGCTCGGCTATTACTATGAATGCGTCGCAGAATTTGGTTTTAACCATATTATTGCAATTGGAGAAATGTTATATGGGTTGCTCTTTCTAGATTGCTACGGAAGAGTTTTTCAATGGGAAGATATGGAACAGGTAATATGGCCAATGGGGAATTCATTAGAAGAATCGAAGTCGCATGAAGAACTTGTAATATGGACTGTAGAAGATGGTGTCGCGTATGAAGAATCTAAAGGTATGTCCGCAAACATTATTATAATGGGTGTAAAGATGTGGTTTTTTTGTTAACTTGCATCTTTTTAGATTCTTTAAAACCGAGTCCTGATAAAGGCTCAAAAAAAAAATAAAAATAATCGCTCAAAAAAAAATAAAAATAATTGCTCAAAGAAGAAAAAGAAACGATAACGAATCAACGATGGCAAATATATATACTGCTCCGCTGATATGTTTCTACAAGTTGTAGAAGGGCAGTTTTTTTATAACTTTGGATTATTTGAAGCTATGCTGAGAGCGCTGATGTGCAATATCTTTACGGGAAACTGGGTATAAGCCTTTGTGAATTTAACCAGTTGATTAGTTTTTTTAAAATTACAATAAGCTTATGATTTATGATAAATCAAGCGCCACAGAACCTACAACGTTTATTAAAAAATAAAAAATAACATCTTGCGCCATTGCTTAAACGATTATAGTACAGATTTGTTAAATGATGGGGCTATGCATGTGATCGACAGCCACGTGGAAATGAGATCATGCATACTCTCGTATATTGATTGGGAGTATATAAACGTCGTAAAAAAGCCCTTCGAATAGTTCGATTTGAGATGTCTGTAGATTTCACTAATATTACATTCCCCGTTTGAACAGTATAATGAAATAGAATGCATGTTTCACATAGAAATAGCCAATATTTGATTTATTGCACCATAGCCATGTGGATGGTGGCGATGCGAATTTAGCTATTTTATGGTTTACTAAATAAAATGATTTTAATCCAGAATACAATTACACTATAATGAAGGCTTTCATATAGATAAACGTTTGGGGCTCATTTATTATTATTGCCCTTAGATCCGATCTCGTCCTGCCGCGCCAATCAGATTGTGCAAAATTTAATCTTGCTGCACCAATTTATCTAGTATAAGGAAAAGCCACATTTTCTTGATCCACCCACACAACTCCAATGACGAAAAATCTTCAACACTCATTTTACTGTCAATCGGTGAATGTAGAGATATCGTGCAATATCTCTCCTTGAATAATCATCTATAAAGAGATATACAATACACCATTTGAGATCTGTGCAAGAGGCTTACCCTTATGAGAACTACGGTGTAAGAGATTGCAAGTCAGAAAAGCTATTCTAATGACCTGTGCTTCTACTTTTTCTGTTCTTTGGGGCTTTAACTGTCTTTTTATTATGTATACTTATGTATTATAGCCCAACATATAAAGCTGTGCCCAGTAATCAAGGTAATCAAGGGAAATCGCTGGTAATCGAGAGAAATCGCTGGTAATCGAGAGAAATCGCTGGTAATCACTGGTAATCACCGCAACCCCCGGCTTCTAAAGAGTTCGTTGTAATAAACTCAGCTTCTGGTAAAAGTGAGGACCGCTTTGGAAATCACTGAGTAACGGTTTGTACGACCTTTCTTCGTGAGCACGCGCGAGTAATCACGTTTGCAAAAAAATTTCGTGTGATAGTGACTGGACCTAGAATTTTGAAAAGGGCAATATTATTGTATCAATTGAAGGTATATGCATTTTGAACGCGAAAGATAACTGTTAGGCTTTCAAAAGTTCAGTGTATCCGTTTGTCGATGTAATTGCCGTTTGAATAGAATGATTTACAGCCATACCTCATTTGTATCCCCCTATTGTATCCCAACTATCCCAGCTTTTGGATTTCCCTTATTGTATATCAGTATAAATCTACATAGTAATAGTAAAGTCCGGTCTAACAAAGTGCTCCGTTCCATCGCCTGACTTCGTTAATGCGGACTATTCGTTAAAGCGGACTCTGTTTTTATATATGAATGAAACGGTTCCAAAAAAAACTTCGTTATAGTTATATACTGTGTACCTCATTCAGATATAACCGTACTCGAAATCTGATTGGCGTTCGACAATCTTAACATAGAAAATTTGATGACGTTTTATCTCAAATAAAAATTTAACGGCTCTTCAATGTTGAGCAATTATACAATGATCTGGACATTACGATAACTAATCTGCATGAGATAGATGTAGAAAAGTACAGTGAAGACAGCGTATATAATGAGAATGAGTGTGAGCACAACAATGATTGGGTGATTACATTGTCGGAAAGAAGAAAATCGCCAGGTACATGTTCAGCGTGTCAGTTCGTTGCAGACCGGGGTTGAAGGACAAATATGCAATCGAAAGGAGAAGGAAAAGTGGAATTTTGTATTAACGGCGGAAGAATTAAGGACATGCAAACAACTATTGGGAATTGCGCAGAGTGTGCGTCTTGGGAGATGCTAAGTGGACGGAAGAAGAACTCTGAACGAAAGCATGTAATTATATACACGCGATGCGTAATAATAGAAACAATGATAGTGAATAATCCATGTATATTATGCCGGTCAAAAGGGCTGGGCGGTAGTTTGTCCATGGTAGTTGATACATTTGTTGACGAATCCGTCCGTCACAGTATAGCATCATCTATCTGGTGTGATCTCCCTTTACCAATAAGCAGTGATCCAGAAAAGCTTGGCTATTACTATGAATGCGTCGCAGAATTTGGTTTTAACCATATTATTGCAATTGGAGAAATGTTATATGGGTTGCTCTTTCTAGATTGCTACGGAAGAGTTTTTCAATGGGAGGATATGGAACAGGTAATATGTGGCCAATGGGAATTCATTAGAAGAATCGAAGTCGCATGAAGATCTTGTAATATGGACTGTAGAAGATGGTGTCGTGTATGAAGAATCTAAAGATATGTCCACAACATTATTATAATGGGAGTAAAGATGTGGGTTTTTTTGTTAACTTGCTTCTTTTTAGATTCTTTAGACCCAGAAAAAACAAGTCCTGTTAGAGGTACAAAAAAAAACAATCGCTCAAAGAAGAAAAAGAAACGATAACGAATCAAAGATGGCAAATATATATATTGCTCCGCTGATATATTTCTACTCGCAAAACGAGACACTTACATACCTAATTCTAGTAAATATGTCTGGCAAAAATAAATCGACAAACAATTGGTGCTGGAAGAATTTCAATCGAAATGGTTTTTTTTTTCTATATAAATACACAATAATAGCCGAAAATAATAACAACATTGAGTCAGTTCGACTATCCTATAAAAATTCGGAACAATGGTTGTACTTTTGACAGAGCAAATTACATCGAACAACCATGCCATGAAGAGGCGTCTCGGAATGGCAACACACTTGCGCATAGTTCTACTGGTTAAATAAGATAGTGAAACCTGAACTTTGTCGAGAAATTATAAACGCGGTATCAAATCCAGTTATTCCCAGAGAATGTGTAGAAAAAAAATCGATTTTAGTAATTCCTCAGCTGAATTTGAGTTTTCATCCTCGTCTTCGTCTAAGTCCGGGTCTGGCACTGAATCGTCTAGTGATAAAAAGGGTGTAATTAAAGTGAATGCAGTAAAATTAGGTTCGATACCTTTGCGTTCCACTGTTAAGTAATAAGCGATTTGAGATAATCGTTGTATTTATGCCAAACTCCACTAGACATTAACATACCCAATTTTGCAGATCAATTCTAGAACGAATCTGCAAGAGAATCTCGCAATCTGATTGGCGCTCGACATTGTTGATGACGCAATAAATTGAGTTTAAAGATTAGCCTTCGCTATACAATGAACGTAAAAGTAGAAGCCAAAGACTTACCTTGTCTCTTCGAGTCTCCTGCCAATATGAAAGTCAGTTGGCAGGATGTGAGACAAAGATGGCGGCGTGCATCAGCTAGTACTGCAGCAAAGAAAATAACAGAAATGGCTGAGTATTTTCCTGAACTATCTGTATTATTCGGCTCTTACTCTTTGTGTGAAAGGTATTATTATTATAACCAAATTGTCGTTAAAAAGTCTTTTATTAAACGAGTTACTGAAACAAATGACAATCTCTTTAGATTCAGAAGAAAAAGACTGAGACTCTCTAGCGATAATGATTTGCTGGCATTCGAAAAAACTTTTTCTTATTTTGGAGTGCAAGTATCCTTGCATACGGAGTTCTTATGAAACGGATACAAGAGCTAGAAGATGTCAATCGACAATTATTATCCGAGAATGCAGCATTAAAGAAGCGGTTAGATGACCAACAAGGTCGTATTAGATCTGTGACAGAAATCGCCGAGAGAGAACGAGGTAATTTGTATAATGATATAGTAAGTATGATGAAATAACCATGAACGATTTGGTATAGATAGTCTTTTGGAATATGAACAAGTCTTTTTTTATTTACAAGCGATTATCAACTTCCTCGTTTCAATAGGCCTTCATTAAGACTTGCAACCAGACGAATGTTTGCACCGATTTGGTCTGCTCGACGCCACCCGATTTACCGATTAATTGAAATTGCCGATGAAGAACAATTCATAATCTAATTCAAGAAAGAATTGTGACTTCCCGATCTAAACTTTCAAATCAACATCAAGGCAATACTAGAAGAAATTAACAAAGCACTCAAATCGTTAATTTCTTCTGCACCTTTACAGCGGCATTGGGAAATTGCAGCACGTAACTGTACCAAATTTGAGAAACCCGATTTCGGGTTCGGATAAGAAAGACGCAGTTTTGAAACCGAAGGTCTCTAATTGTGTTTTTCATGATATCAGTGGCGAATATGAAAAATTCAGTGAAATTGCACGGATGAAAAGAATAGACTTTGGCAAATTAAGAAAACATCATTAGGCCTGCAAAAGTGAAGGACACTGGTCCCAAAACTGCACCCCCAGAGATCGAAAGGCTGCAGAGAAAGGGACAAACTTGACCGCGCTTGGCAACCAATTCCAGTAACAAATGAAGAAGCGGATTATCAAAAAGATGAAAATCTGCTAACAAACCGCAACTATTATCAACTATTAACTCTTTAACACCTATTTACAACGATCACATTTTCGAGGCTTATCAATTCCGTGACGACTTAATGAGTAGTACCCTTCAAGAAGTTAGAAATATATTGTCCGGAAACGTTATTAATACTAATAAAGAATACAGTAAAGTTGAAATATATTGTTAATATGAAAATTTTAAACTCTTTCTCTAATGTTTTACAATGATTTCCAGAAACTCCCGAAAGTTTTTTTACTACCATAACTAGTGCAGTAGTGTAGTATTGAACAGCATTGACCGGCAGGTTATAATAGAGTACAGTTAGTATGTTAAGTAATGTGCAGCAATTAGTTTTATTTTTGATATACCAATACGGGTTAAAATGGGGAAGTTATTGAAAGTTGTTGAGCACACGTTGTAGTCTTTACTACATTTAAATCGGTTATGAAAGCAGTTCTGTCCAATGCACTGATGTTGGGGTTTTCCCAAGTCGGACACC